CTTCCACGTTGTCTCAAAATTTGAACCAACCGCGGTCAAGGTCAAGGTCAAGGTCACTTGGTGCACGTAGGCGCCCCCAACCCCTCTGGACCCCCTCCCCCCTATTAGATCGCATTTAGTGTGATCTGAACACGGGTTTTTCGCCCTAGGCATACGCCGGCAAAAGTTGCCAAAGCAAGACATCGATCCAGGCGCCGTATTTTTTTGGGGGGGAGCAAACGTAGGAGGCGTGCCTGCGCGTAGGGTTGTTCTTAGGTGGGGGGGGCTTGTGTGTGTGTGTGTGTTCGACCATCGATCTCGATGACGGATTATAGCCTCCCCCAGTCAACGCACGGAATACCGCCTGTATACGCAATCACGGCGCACTAGTACCAAAGGCTACAGGAGCCTATTCGCCACTATCCTTTGGCCCGACCGGAACCATTCTATCCTTTGGTTCCGGAACATTGCTATTAAGGGAATACACTGCGTAATCGATGAACTTTGTGCTAATGTGCTGTTCGAATTGTAGATAACGCTAGCTTTATTAGCATATTCAATTTGATTGAGTAAGTGTTGGCTTCGCAGTGGTTTCTGCATGCTGCTGTCGCCTACTACAGTAGAAGCCCGAGTAAGTAATATGGTACTGCATCACTTCCATCATAAATTGCACGAATCCCTCCTCATTATTCGCTACAAATATCAGTTATATAATCTCACTTAAATTGTGTGTTGATTTGTATAGCTTTGTTTGCAGTGCCACTGACTATTTTCCTTTCTTCGCGTTACTTGTAGCGTTTTGTATTATTTTGAAGCTTTCTGTAAGCGATATCCTGAGCGGATATCATATGTCAAACTGCGCCAACAACATTAATAACAACTAATGTTGCATTCAAGATATCGCTTGAAGTATTCCATATTCATAGGCTCACAAATATCAGTTATGCTAAATAAACATTGAATCCAAGCCATTACTTAATAATCATCGACCTACTTATCTGGTATTTCAAAGTAATCCGACTATTCCGCTCGGGCAGCTTGTGTAGATTCCAAAGTATTTGTTTGCTTTCGGAGAAGAGAGAAATTTTACACCTACATCTTGAAAAGATATATGTTCGACTATTTCGACTGCGTCTAATCAACATAACTTTGCTCAAGATATTTCCTGATATTTTTAGCTGATCAGTTAGCTGATCAGCGAACAAAACCCCATCTTTTACTCCGTTTCGTAATGATGGAATATCCACAGCATTCGGCTGATTATCATGACTGCGGTTTTATGTTGTAGCCGTCGCCACCACCGAAGGCTTGTCAAAATTCTGTGGCAGCATTGGGTCGAGTTATAATTTCATCCCCATTCCGTGCATTTGGCAAACGCTGTGCATTGGAGTAATTAGAATTTCTGATTTTCAACCGTTTGCGTGTTAACTGTGGGACGTTGATTTGATTTTCGGCGTTCAGTAATAATCCACGTGATTTCATAATATTTTCATCTGATTCACTGCCATTTTCCTTATTTTTCAACGAATAATCTTCGAACGAACGGTATCAAAATGATTTCGTAAACAGTTGAAACGACTTGGGCTAGAGGGAGCTTTTATTTTCCGAGCAGTACTCTTTGACGGTACAATTTAAAACTGCAACCTTCATCGAAGATACTGTCGATTAACAGAAACAACAGCTACTACAATTTTAACAAAGCTGCTGACGTTTTACTCATAAGTGTGATGAAATCCGGGGCAACTCCCGAACTACTAGGAATGATCTCGTTTTGTAGCACACATTCTGTCACTTCAAGAAGACAAGACGTCAAAATTTAAACACAATTTAGCCTAAGGCCGAGAAAGGGGAAGTTAATAATGTTCTAAGTAGGCAGCAGTTTGGCAAGTCATTTCTTCTGTTACATAGCTCTTGGCAATAACTATCACAAGTCTCTTTATCACTAGTTTCCTTGCATTCATTCCTTTTGCAGTGGGCAATTGTTTTTTTATGATATTTCAACCGTCTTACCTGTTTAACGTGTCTTTCAGTCATATTAGCACGTTTATACCGTAGTTTTCTTATGTGAAAGAGTCTGTCTTGTCTTTTAGGATGCCTACTTACAACTGGAGCACAAATTTGCTGCGGCGCTTTTGAGTTGGGCTTCAGAAAAGGTTGCTTTGACTGAGTCCTTGCACCGTTGCCAAGTGGATAAGTCTGAACTAGCGGCGACATGTGAAATTTTACAAAAGAATGGTTTGACTAAGGAGAGACTGGACATTATAAAGCTGCAAGTATGCGTCCTCCTTAAAGATAGGCTATTTATTGACCAAATTTGTTTATCTGTTCTTTTTATATAAAGTATATCTAAAGGACTTTCTTAAGCTTTTCTAAAAGTCCAATTTTTACCAAACATCATGATACAAGCATATATTTAGTCCTCTTTTAGTAACCAGCCATTGTCCAACTTTTTGCTGCCAGTGAAACTTTTGCTTGCTTTTAGGTCGCAAATGATTTTGAACAGAAATCACGAGATCATCTTCAGCGCACACAACTTGAGACAGAAGCTTTGAAAGCCCAATTATATCAGCTACAAACAGAGCTTGCAAAACTTCAAACAGAGAATGAACAATTGCGCATCCGATGCAAATGCGAGAAGGATAAAGAGAATCTCATCGTTCAAGCTGAGGTACCATTGACGACATCTGATAATATTTATCTTTATGGCCATGCTTTTTCACGCGTTTACCAGCCTTTTAATTTTTTCTTTGTAATTTTTCAGAAAAAGAGTTTGTGTAAGTCACACGAAGAGGTTATCAACCGACTCTCGGCGATGTTGAACTCGGATACCGAAAGCATGGCAGGACTTTACCAAGAGAATATGCAGATACGGGCTAAGTGTGGTCTATTGGTGGAAGAAATATCAAAGACCAAAGCCCAGTCGGAGAACCAAACGTCAGTTTATTCAAGTTTAAATTTTACGACTCTCTGTTGAATGTTTTTTTATACTTAATACGTTTCAAATGTAGAAAAGAATGATAATTGTTTCAAAGAATAATTAGGAAGAATTATATTACGTCAGGCTATAAAGTTATAAAACTCTCTAGTCAGAAAACGCGTTCTCTAGAACTTGTTCGAATTGTCAACGTCCCATTGAAATTTGAGTTGGGTGTTCTGTTTCATTTGACTCGTAGTTGGTTCCGTCCGACTCCAGTCCGTGCATTTTGTGGCCAATTGAGCTTCACATCTTTTTAGATTACGGTAGTGTAATCATCAAGTTTTTATCCAGTGAAACCTATCGTAATTGCCCAACACGTTATAAAATGCTCTTTTCAGCGATTTTAGAAGTTACATTTTACGCCTATATACATACAACGCAATTGGATATTTTACAACCGTGGTTATAACCGTTGCAATTTTTTTCACAAGAAGCCGCTGCTACTTTTAAAATTATGGGCAGCTATTCTTCGATGTTTGCATTGTGATCCTACTCATCCACAGACCGCGCCCCCATAACGAAGCCGCGAATGGCCTATTGGTATGGTCAGTATGTAGTCATGTTTCTCGATTAGTACCCTC